GAACATTAAAAGTATCAAATCGTAGTGGAACACCTCAGTGGGAAAATTAATGAAAAAGATGAGGCTCCGTTCGCGTGAATATTCTGAAGTTCAGTTGGTGATGAGGGTAGGATATCAGAGGGTTCTCGATTCTTCTTGCATGCGTAAATATTCATTGAATTTTAAAATAGATGATATTTTTGTTAAAAGATGATTTGTGTTTTCTTTTTTTATATAGGTTTATATAGAGAAGAGAAAAATAGTTAGAACAGTATTTTTTACAAAATATGTAGCTAAATTTGAAAAACAATTATAGAAGTGAAGCTGTTAACTAACAGAAATAACGATGACTTTCATATATTATGTAAATAATGACAACATATTCGACATATTTTTGCTGCTTTCTTGACACATACTTTCTTTTTTTGGCTAGCCAGCAAAACGAAATCACCGGCATAACTAACGCACACACACACACACACACACATACACAAGCACACGCATTTGCTTGTAAATTCACGTGATTGAGAATTCACGTAAATAACACACATTATTTATATTAGGCAGATTTTGTTGCATTCGCAACCAATCCGAGCAACAGCAGGAGTAATCGTCTATCCGTTACACCGTCTCGTTAGTTTTACGTTAATTTTAATTTTCAAAATTGTTATTAATTGTTCGCATGCATGTTATAGATGATATTTGTTTATCAATCAATATAAATATTTTGTACAGTTTTCATGATTTAATAAAAAAACGCATTCATACAAAGCAAATAAATTTATTGTTTCTTCAAAATACACAAAATAATCGCTTATTTATATAATAGTCAATCGAATAGACTAACTTTCCTTCATAAAATTGGATTCCTTCAGGACAGCCTGACGTAAATTGGATTTTTGGAAACCTTTAAAGAAATGGTATAACATTTTAAAAGTCATCCATTAAATTTTAGCACTTATATAAATAAATACTAGATAAATATTTTATCACACTGAACTCTATAACTTCAATGTACTTCATAATTCTGAGAGAGTAGTGTGCATAATCTTTTTGAAAAAAATCTCATCTGTAATAAAATCATTGAGATATGTATTCATACTTCCTGATGTGTGACACTCTTGTTTATGCTCATTGTGAGTAAACTATTCAAAGTTTAAAATTGTGTAAAGTTAATAAAATGAGACCAACTTTTTCATCGTCATACACATCCAGTCTGGCATAACTAGCGACCTTCTCAGAGGTGGAAAAGATTTCTTCACCATCTTTATAAACTGACACCTACGTCATAATAGTCAACAAATTGCACAGTCGACAAATCATATCAACTTCCCATAACACAAATTTTTTAGGGTCCATGCAACGATTTATACGGACATAACATGTCCAAAGAGCATGTCTAATCTAGCCGATAAAAAATTTTTATTCAGTCTGAAAGACTTTTTAATGATTGATTTAAAAAAAATCTATCTAACAAAATTCAAAATATGTTACGCAATTGAGTAATTATTGTTCTGTTCCTTTTAATCGGCAACGTTTCGATCAAACAAATGAAATAAAAAGGGTCTAAATTAACCACCAAAACCGTTCAAAAATGACCCAAATGTAATGTCATTTAAGTGTTGAATTAATTTAAGTAAAAATAAGCAACATGAAACTCAACAAATAAATGTGATTTTTCTAAACGAATTAGTAAAGGATAGCTTCAAAGAATCATTAAAATGTTATACCTTAAGTCCAGGAATCTTTTTCTCGATAGCACTCAAGACATCTTCGTAACTCTAAAATCATTTTTATCAATGATGAAAATAAAAAGCGGAACTAGAACCGAAATGATCATTTACGCGTTTTTTTCCGGATATATTTCTTTTCTTATGCAGAGCAGATTATACCGCACACACACGCGCACACGCATACACATGACAAAAACACGAGATACATCACTAGTCTAAACGACTTGAACTAACTTAATCGCCGGCATAATTATAATCTTAGTTATCGATCGAATGCTTCAATAAATATAATAAATTTTGTAGAAATTGTTTTATATTCAATAAAAACACACCTGTCCAACGGTGTCTGACACCAAGCTTAAGTCTGTAAAATATTTGAAAGGTTACGAATGATTTGTCTGCCCCTACTACTCTAAAAAAATTAAAGAAATATTCTCATTGTATTCTAATTCTTATGTATAAGAAAATAAACAAAATCGACTATTAGTTATTAATTAAATGACAAATATGAAAAGCTATTAAAAAAACCACCTGATCCAAAATACTTTGGTGGTTCGACCACAATGTTCGAATCATGAACAACTAATCTGACTCTCGAGAACCAAAACTCCTCAATGTACATCTTGCTATTTCTTTCATTGTGTGTCACAAACTAAATCAAATTCATTATTTATTTTTATTATCATTATATATGCAAAGTCAACATACTTGAATCAAATTTATGATTGCAAAAAATGGTTCATTTTTAAATTTTGTGAAGCTAAATCAAAAATAAATTTGGATTCAATAATTTAAATGTAATCAAACCTTAACGTGAGCAAAATCATGCAATATGGATTGTTTGACTTCATCCGCTGGCTTTAATTTATATTTTTTAATTTGAATAAATAACATTCACGATAGAGTTTCAAACTTTACCTTATCAATCAACTCAGGCCAGTTCATCCTAAAAATTGTGTTATCTGTGTAATAATAACGTCTGTAATAAAATTCATCTAGTTGTGTTTCATTGCTTATTAATATACTCGTTTTCAATAAAACATATCTTCAAAAAATTCAATTTTACACTTAGATTAAAAACTAATTGAAAAATCTTTTTAGCTCATATCGCCAATTTTTGCGTAATGAACTCGCTTGTACTTGTTCGAGTTAACTACTTCCCATTGCTAACATCATTGGTACGTAGAGGCGCGTCGACATGTTCTGCCCGATCTGTCAAAAACAGGCCGGGGCTGGTTCAGAGTCGGATCAAATTACGTTAAAATCAACTTTTTGAGAAAGTATCGCGAATGTTTTTGTTCGAGTCGAACAGAGTGCAAAATATTTATTAATCCTGCGTTAAATCGTCCTTTCAATATACAGCAATGCAGAGATGTTTTTTTTATCAGTGATTAACTATTAACAATTATTTATCAAAATATAATAAATAACTAAATAAATTTTTTTATTTATAAAAATTTTGTTTATTCTGTTGAAAATAATTGTTTCTAATTTGGATATGTTCGGAAGTTTAAAAAGTCAACGTAATGCAATTAATGAACTGTTAAGATGAATTTAAAAGTTGCTGATTCATAATTTATTCTAATGAAATATTCAATATAATATTAGAAGCACCAGAAAATTTATAGTTAAATTCATATAGGATTAACTTTTGAATATGTCCAACTTTTGTTTAAACACAATAACTAAAAAACGCCAATAAAAGTATTCAGCTGAAGATATTTGTCAATGTAAGCAAAACCACCCATGTCCAAACTAATTTTTCCGCGCCACCGATAGAACACGTTCGTATGTTGGCTTCCTTGATACCTTCGATAAAAATATTTATTATGTTTAATACTTCATAACAAATTCACCAACACATATCAAAATCGTAACAGAAAATTCATCACATTTAAAGATAAAACTGAATCGTTTTATTAAATTCAGGTGAAAATTGCATAACTTATATGCAGAAAGATGTCATCGTGCGTGATTAATCAACAACAAAACAAAAAATCCCACACATCGAAAAAACTTGTATAATTATTTTTAGCATCATTACATTTTATATCAATTCAAGATACACAACATTCTACATACATACATACACACATATACATACACGTACATACAACTATATATTCAAATAATTTTCAAACAATCAATTAATGATAAAAAATTATGATTTAATTATTAAAAATAATAATTAATTGCAAGGTTATAATTGGGGTTAAGTTTCATCCTGAAACTTACCCTGTCATCATCGTCCACATCCAGCCGCACGAAACTGCTCATCACTTTATTCTTTTGATAAATTTCCACGCCATTGTAATACACAACAAACTTTAATTTTAAATTATGCAAAATTATTTTAATCATTTCTTCTCTAACTGATTTTACAAAAACATCAACGGTTTATTTTTAAATATTTGTAGTTCTCGAATTAGTGGGGATTCTGTAGAGCAAACTGCTGTAGAGCAAAATGCTTTAAACAAAAACTAAATAACAAAGAAAAAATTGTAAAAAAAACAAAACAAAACGAAAGTTAATTTAAAAAGAAATTTTTGGTTGCTTATAAACTTTTCTATATTATCTGTATCATAGATTAAATTTTGATTTGAATTTCATCCTTATTGAATATTGTAGTTGAGGAGTGATTATGCAAAACAAGTTTAATTAATTTCGTAGAAAAGCAACTTTTTTAAATTAGACCAAAATCTCCAAGATTCTACCAATTTAATAACAAATAATAGCTGTTGTTATTTCGCTTTCCTTCATTCAATTGTTTGAGGTTATGAAGCGTTGAGTCATTGTGCCGCTTTCCATTGAAGTGCTCATCGAGATCACCAGAGATTGGCGGTTTCTTTAATTATTATTGCATTAAAAATTCAAAAGTGCATGTGAAAAAGGTCATTCAAAAAAATACCAGATTTTTAGATTTATATGTATGTGCATAAAAATACGACATTATTTAAACATATATACATCCTATACCTAACTTCAACTATTAACACCATCAAATTCAAAAAAAGTGATTTTTTGTTAATATTTGTGAAAATCTTTTTAATTTTTACAATTTTCAAAAAGAAAACTAAAATAGAGAATCTAAAATCAAAATAGAAATCGATACTGAAAAAATTTTGCAAAGAAAACCGGAGAAAAGTTTAGCGAAGCTAACTTACGATGAGATGAGTTAAAAATGGTTAAAAATTTTTCCAGTATCTTATACATTTTTTTCAAAAATAAACAAAAAAATAATTTTTTCTCTCAAAATGCTTTGTCTATTTATTTTACCAAAAAACAAGTCTAAGGCACAGAATGACTGTAAGGAGCCCCTAGGGACTCATCAGGCTGTCTGTATAGAAATTATTGATATTTCAACACAAAGCTACACTAAAATTTGTAAATTTATTCAGAGTGATAAATTTATTTATCAAAAAGGAATTTATAAAATTTTGTTACGTACCTTCCACTCCTTCTAAAACCCCAATTTTAAGCCCATCCCTAAAGGGTTAGTTAAGTCACACTCGAAGTTTAAAATTGTTCATTTATGTAGAATAATTTTATGGCTGAATTGAGGATTAATAGCTTTATTTTACCAAAAACAAACTTTAATGAAAAAATAAGAAATCCAACATTTAAGACTAACTTTCAAGTTTGGAAAATTGGATGCTAAGAGACCCATAGCAATCTTGTAATTCTCAAATTAATAGTTAAAATACAAAAAATTATGCAACGAAAAAAATACACCAAACATAAAATATTTTGATGATAATACTTCATTGAAAAGACTTCTCAGCAACGTACCAATCCAATCAGACTGGGCAACGAACTAAAGTCAGGCTCTAACAATCAGCTATATAAAAAGTCAATTTTTCAGAGATAGATTTATAAAAAAAATTATAAATTGTTGAAAAAATTTAAATGTTTCAAAAACCCATTTAGAATTAAGAAAAACTCTAAATTGATGAAAAAGCTACACTTAAAAATTAACAAATTGTATTTTTTTATTGAAACTTCAATATCATAGTTGGCAACTGAGAAACATCCACCGAAGAATGTTGAAATTGCAGTTACAATGTGGCGCTTGTTGACAACCAGCTTAACTCTCTCAAACCAGAATTCTTCGCTGACTTTCGTGGTGTCGTTCTGATCGAACACTTGAAACTGTTTAATGTGCAATGATAATGTATGTAATATATTAGATTAACTTGAAGTTTGTAAATATTATCGAAATATTATTTTTTTTTATCAAAAAATGTTCCTTCAATTAACAGATGCAATAAATTCAGCACGTACATTTGTACGTATGTAACAGTTTCAGAAGTTTGAAAAAACATGAAAAGTTACGAAGTTTAAAAACGTTGAAAAAAAAGAAGGCAAAGGTTTCGCGTGCTCAACCTACCCCGACATCGCCGATGTCGTGCAGGATGGCCTCCTTCACGTCATCCACGGGCTGCAATGTGCCATTCATTTAATTTATTATCATCTATGACAGGCAGATTTCAATTAAAAATGTTGAAAATGTTGAGCGAGAATAATGTATATAAATATAAATACAGACTTTTTTTATATTGTAAATAAACGTTTTTGTAATGTTGTGAATATCAATTTTTTTTTTAAAAACTTTAGCAATAAAACAATTTTATAATTACAACCATAAGATAATTTCATAAAATTGTAAATATGAAATGTTTTTACTTGCCATGTTTATTAGCTCTTATGAAAAGTCCTGAATCCCTTAGGAAGCAGAATCATAGCACCTGAAATGTATGGTTGCGTAAATCCTTTGTATACTTTGGCTAAGTTATTTGGTATTATATAACCTACGATAGTATACTTAACGTTCTAAAAGACTTTAACACTACAAGATTTTTTGTGAGTATCATTCATTTTATGACGTCACAACACGGAATGAGGCTTGATGTGTTAGTCCGAATGTTGAACCAGGTCGGCGCGCAATGACAAAATGCGAGTTTTCCACCAGCACTGTCTGAGTTAACTTGACAAAAACATATTCTTTAAAAAGTTTGTTTCAACTGATCTTTACGCAAAATATATAATATAAAATAAATACATAAATTGTTATGAAGACTTTTTTAATAAATCGTGTATTTAAATAAAAACAAAACACTGACTGACTGCCAAACATAAAAAAAATATTTTCACTGAACGCATTTCGATTTTATGTTTAAAGGAAAAAACATCGAATCAATCATGTTCAGCAAGCTTTATAAAAAGAAGACTGTGTGGATATGCGACAGTTTTAAACATTCAAAATCAAACCATGAAATTTCAAGTTCGTTTTTAGGGATCGATCATTTCATACTTGTCCTTCACTTTTATTACAAAAATATAACGTCGATAATTAAAAATACACTCAAATACAATTGCAATCGCTCAGACGCTCGTCCAGTAAAATCACTGGTTCAATTTATTTCAACTGAAATCTGAAAGTATTGATCGTTATTTATTTTTTAAAAATGTAAAATGGTTGAACTCAAAATTGAGCTGTCGATAATATTTAAAAATGTGCATTACAATGTTTTCAATCGTCATCCTGAAACACTAAAACTCTGCAAAACTTCGGGCTTGCTCATTTTCTGCGACAAGATCAACCACTAACTCAGTTTTAAAAATATGGTAAATGATCATGGAGTCTAAGTATCAAATTTTTGTCAGATGACATTGTAGGATTTGAGCGTTTAAATTGATTTGCATTTCATCATCGCTTGCACATTATTTTATATTTCATCGTTATTCATTACATTTATTTTTGGTGAACCAGCTGGGTTATGAATTATTTGTTGTTCGTAATGGCGGAATGGCGCCAACGTTTAAATTTCGATAGTTTTTTCTTTTTCGTTTTTTGTCTCGTTGCACTTGTAACAGACTCTTTGCCAATTTAATTTCAGTTACAGTTGTGAAATTGTATGAATGTGCTTGAGAAGAAACAAATAAAATTGAATAGGTATCAAATTACTGATACTGATTCTTGTCTATCTTGGTTTTTTTCTTACCTCTGTAATCGTTTTTCTTTTGTTGTTCTTAATAATTCTACTTCGAACTCCTCTTCTCTTACTTTCGGGGTGCCTCAGGGTTTTTATCTTGGTCCTCTTCTACTTATATTCTATACTTCTGAACTACCTCGTATTATTAATAACTTTTCTTTTACTAGTCAATTATATGCTGATGATTCTTATATTCATACTTTTTTTCCTCCATTTAATCTCAATATTGTTTTCGCGATATCATTTCTTGGCTTACAGGTTATTTGGCCAATAGCTCCCGGCGGTTTTGTAAAATAATTACAGCTGTTTCGAATTTTTTCATTCAGCTCCAATTGGCTACTGGTCAATTTATATTGAATTTCAAAGTTTAGAATATGAGTTTACATTCACAGCATTTTGATCAAAACTTAATTTTAGATAAATAAGCTTCATTAGGTGATAATAATAACACTGCATCACTAGCATCACAAACAAAGTGAAAGAATATCCCGAATTAATTTTTTTGTTTTTACATTAGTCATATTTGTATTGACAACAGAGTTAGTACCTGAAGCTGTTGCAAACATTTGTTATTTTTGTATAATTTATACTTCTGGGCATCATTCTCTAAGTGAATTTTTTTCGAAAATAAAAAAAGATTATTTTGAAAATTTTATTAAAAATCAAATACTATTTGTAACCACAGAACTACATATAACAAGGGAAACATTGTTACTTTATGACATGTTTATATTTTTATAATGTTGGAACATATGCGCGTTGCATTTGTAAATGTTTGTCTTTGTTGGTGAATGCCTGCGCGTTTATTTTAATAAATTTACATAATTTGAGAGTTTTTTAACCATTTTGCTGATTTCTTCAAAGTTTATTACGGATTCAAACAAAATCTCGATTACCGATAGAAAACAAAATGGCCGCTGATAAATGTTTACAGATACAATCAGGGATGCAGTATTCCTGGCATACCACCAAAGATCTTGCATTGTATTTTTCTTCTCGATATAATATTTATTTCAGTGTTTGTCGTTACACAGCCAAGCTGATAAATTATGAAGAAATTATCGGCACCACCAAAATCACGATATTTTAATTTATTGATTTAAATTAAATAAATCATTAAAATTATTTAACTAATCTTTTTTTGAGATTCTACGGTAAAAATATATGGTGGAACAGAACAGTACAAAATAATAATTAAAACTGAAAAAAAAACAAACGGAAACAAAATCCGAAACGAATAAAAATTAAAATAAAACACTGTCGCTATCGGAACCTCGCAAAGAGATTTATCGAAAAAAAATATTTTGACACACTATTCAATTGAGAAATTCAAAAGAAATTAAAAAATGTTTTAATGAAAAATAGTTTAACATGCCACAGCGACGTCGGAAATTCGTTAAAAAAATTCGTTCGTTAAAAAAATTCGTTCGTTAAAAAAATTCGTTCGTTAAAAAAATTCGTTCGTTAAAAAAATTCGTTCGTTAAAAAAATTCGTTCGTTAAAAAAATTCGTTCGTTAAAAAAAATTTATTTAACAGTGATATGCAGTAGGTTATTGATCTTGCTGTTTCAATTTGATTATTTTTACTACAATGGAAATTTCTGTTAAAACCTAAAATAATTTTTTTTGCGGTTGTCGGCCCACGGGAAATTTCCCGGGGTCCCGGCGGCCCAGTCGAAGCCCGGGCAGGTTACTCGAAACTCGATTCAATTTCCGCTTATGTTAAAGATGAGGTACATTGATTTCGTATGCCAGAAAGAGTTTTGTTCAATTAACTTTCCTCATCAGCGATTCCCTGGACGGCGAAAATGCGTTTTTTTTATTTAAATGTAACTATCAATCAATTTTAATCAAACAGCTTATGTCAGGACAAAAAGTGTTTAATAGAAAAAAATTATAAAAATATGGAATAAAAAACATGGCAGTTGTGAAAACACGACACGTGGAACAGAGCTAAGGCTTGAAAAACTGGTACTTGATAAGGAACGATGGAAGGATGTAATGAGACATGAATGTACAGGCATATTTTACAATTTTACAATATTTTACAATACAGGCATGTACAATTATATTGTGTTGTTGCTTTTAAGCTAGTTTTTATTATCTAAAAAATTGAACATGCATAAATTTCAGTCCAGTTATATAGCCCCTATGTTACCGGACTCAATCATATATTTAATAATCGATTTATTAATAATAATTATTATAAAAATAAGAACATTTAAATAGCGCTGATTTTCACAGTTGCTTCAGAGGTGCTCAATTTTGATAGCGCCCTACTGAAGGGGGCGCTTGGTTGCTGTTGGCAAAATTCTAGATTCCTGCTGTCACTAAAATGCTTCGGATGTTTTGTTTAACGGGCATTGAGTAGTTATTGATGAATGTGTGAAAGAAGTAATGTGCATTTGGAAGAGTATTTCACCTGCGACACACATGAAGGACTTTTCTACGAAGGCAAACGGTGGAGTTAGGGCGGTCACGTTGTTCGTTGTGAGTGATAATAGGCTGGATTCGTTCCGTTGGCTTGAGCTTTTCGGTCGACGATAAAATTTTAGCAACGTTGACACTAGAATTTAATTACCATATTTTTGATGAATTGCAGTCGGAAAACATTTTTGCAGCCTGAAATTGCCACAAAAGTAACGTCCGAAAACGAATGTCAACAAATCATAGACATCGCAACATGTTAATGATGTTCCACGATATCAATGAGTAAACAAACAACAGCATTGCAGTAAGTTTTTATTTTGATGCTAACAACACAACAAGAGCAACTATGAAAATTGTTCCATTTATGCAAGGCACGTTTTCATCAATGAAGATAAGTTAATTTTATTAATTCATTTATTCCAATACGAATCTTGGTTTATCTTGCCGAAGCTCTCACATAAATGGCACTTTTGGACACCTACAAAAGTTTTATAAAGTTCATCACAAACTATTAATTGTATTATTTCAGTAATAAAATGACATGCATATAATTTATGCAATGTGTTACATTTAATTATTTAATGTTTGCCAGAAATTAATTCAACAATTAGTTTTAATTATAGTGTCAAAATGCCATCCACAAATTCTATAAGTTACAAAAAGGAAGTTTGAATTGGAGCTAGAATGCCGACAAATTTAAATGTGACTGCGAAAAGTAAAAAGCGGTTTCACGCATGTTAAAAGAATTTGGCTAGGATCCTTAGCTACACTGGATATGATTATATAACAGTAGAAAGCCTGATGCCTAGTGGTATAATGCGCCTTGCAGTGCGTGCTGTGACATGGTTCGATAATAAAAATGGATCCTAGCCTATCACAAGCTTTGTGTGTGATGAGTCGTTTAGTCAGTATTCATATACGTTGTTTGTATTGTCAGAATTATGAAATAATGCTGACTAAAAATACTGCAAAATTTTCAACGCGAAATTTATTCACTCGATAGGGGGCATGGTGCAAGTTAATTTACTCGATAGGTGACAACGTATTTTTTTTGTTTTGCAATTTAGATGACGTCATAAATTATTATAAATTATTTTAAAATCTAATTAATACTTTTTCTGATTAATTGGACATGCCTTGTAGATTTTTATGTTTTAAAACACCCGAAACAAAATCTAATTTTGTTTTGATAAGGAAGGGTGTGAAAAAACTTACAGAGAGTCCGCTCTGGGTTGACTAGTGAGGCAGCTTCGAATAATCAGTGCCTCTTCTGGTCCCTAAGAGACTTAACGCGTGATTCTATGCTCATTGGCATAGTTTCAGAAACGTCTTAAGTTCTCAAAGAGTCAGCCTTGGGTTCACCAGTTAGGCAGCTTCGAGTAATCAGTGCCTGTTCTGGTATCTAAGAGACTTAACGCGTGATTCTATGCTCATTGGCATAGTTTCAGAAACGCCTTAAGTTCTCAAAAGTGGATTTAGTACGAGACTCTATGCTCATTGGCATAGTTTCGCACGCGTACTAGAGTCACACAATTTGTTACCAGTGTTGTTCTGACTCTTGTTGTCTTGTGTTGGTCGTGCGAAAGCCGATCAGACTTGACGGCCCAGTGAAAACAGGCCAGGGTTGTGCGAAAGCCGACCGACTGACAGACAGGCCCAGTGAAAACAGGCCTTGGGTTCTGTGAAAACGAATCCGCCTCGTTGTTTTGTTTCTTGTGCTATTTGTGGACCTAGGGTTCTTTGCTGGATTCTATACTCATTGGTATAGTTTCACACGCAGCTTGGAATTTCCATAGGCTCCGATTTTTGTGATTCATTTTTTTTTTTTATTTATTGGAGTTGTATCGACATCAACATCGGATACACACGTCGAAGTTGTACGATTAAAACGCCAAGAAACATATTCCAAGTTGAAGACCCAACAAGAAGAGTTCTAATTCCTGTATTCCAGTTTGTTCATTGACATTTACATTATTATAGAGTTCATTAGTTCAATTCCTTTTATTTACTTCCGTCGATTAATAAAATTGTTATCGAATATTTTTACGCGTTCGTGTGTTACTCAGTAAAATCATATAATTCGAAAAAGCCCAGTGCCACACAGGACTGGTCGAACTCACGATAAAAATATACACAAAAATTATTGTCGGACCATACAAAAATTCCCTGAGAAAGATAGAGGAGGAGATTGCTTCCTCTTATCATTTTAATTTATTATTATTTAAAATCTCCGACAGTATATTGTTGACTCCTCTAAATGTCTGAGATGTATATATATATATGGCATTCAACCTTTCTGCACTAGAAGAACTTGTATTATCTCGTAGCATCTAATTGACTTCTAACTTTTTTACAAATTTTATCAGGCTAACAATATTTTAAGTTCAAATGTTTTTGGACTAATTTGTAACAGAAATCTTTAATCATGTATGAAAAAAAGTAGAAATCTAGATAAGTAGTAACAGAAATCTTTAATCATGTATGAAAAAAAGTAGAAGCCTTCTTGAAAGTTATAATGATTAAAAATTAATTAAAAAAAAAGATTATTTACCTGCTCAGAATCATCAACATCCAATCTTACGTAGTCTGCAACTTTAGCAGACGTTGAAAAGATTTCTTTATCATTTTTGAAGACAATCACCTGTTTTTTTTCCAATAAAATAGTTTGATTCTTTTTTTGAATTGCTACTTTTCTCCGAAATGTTAAAAAAATATAAAAATAACTACTTAAATATGTTTCGAACCGAACTTTTCTATTTTCAACCATCGTAACTAAAATAATTTGTTTATCAAGTGCCAGGTAATAATAAAAATGAAGTCGTACTTTTAGACCTGGAATTTCTTTTTTCAAAGATTGTATAACAGAGTTATAACTCTGCGTGTAATATTTTAAAGCAAAATTAAGTTACAAAAATATTAAAACATTTAAAAGAATTGTAATTGATAAGAGACGCAGAAATTTTACCTTCCCGATGATATTAGGCACTAGGCTGAGTTTTGGCTCTGAAAAGAATTATTTAGAATTACAATAGTGTTCTTTTTTTAGATAACCAAAAAATTTGTTTTCAAATGTCGAATGATAACAATCAATATTCAATTTGATAGAGTTGCAATCGAAGAATTAATAATTACAACGGTGAGCCCTGTGATGGGTGCGTAGATGATTTTGTGCTGGAGTGAGGCGGTTCACTTCAAAACAGGTCAGACCACACTGGCCGCTTAGTTTACCATGCCATAATTATATTCGTTATTTTATCTTATTTTCTGAAGTTTGTTGCGTTAAAGCTTCAATATGCTGATGAAATAAGTTCAGTTCACATAGGTGACCATTAATGACATCTTCTGTTCAACTTACTTGTAAAGAAACAATAAAGGCGAAAATGGAAATAGTATTCAGCAAAATGGGCCAATAAAATATAATTTCTTCAGTAACAGTTGCCAAATATTGGAACAGTTTAAATAACAACGCAGTGTCAACAAAATCGACAAACATTTTTTTTTAAAGCAAGTTGGTCAAATTTGGATTCTAACTCAAGTGGTTCTAAACAGATGATCATTTTTTTGAGCTATAATTTCAATTATGTTATGCTATGCAATGTTATACTATATTAAAAAAATAATTAAAGAAGATTTAAACACGTTGTAAAAAGTGTTATGTTCCTGTACCTACAATATGTTTGGAAAAAATTTATAATAACATCATTAAAATTATTCTTTTGCTATAAAGGACCGCTGTTGGATTTTTGCAGCATTTTGTACAGGTTTTCAAAATAAAGATTTCTTATGTAAATGAGTCTGCATATTTTAAATTTAATCAGTTTCCGATTGGAAGATATATGCCAGACCATTAATGAGTTAAACTGATTAACTAACTAATTAATTAATTTTGATTTCCATTTCTAACATTAACATTTGATGCGATTTACATTTAGAAATAAATTAATTTCAACATATTAAATAATACTTAATCTATATAAAATTTATTTCAAAAATTTACTTACTTTGTCTGACTGAATGATTCCGTTTATCCTTTATTTTGTATCTACTTATTTTTGTCTTCTATATTTTGATCTTATTAACTTATGATTGTTTTTATTCTATTTCTATTTATTCGTGCATAAATTTTGTCTTTCGGTTTCTCTTATATAACTTGATTTTCAATATTTTTTATTATTCTGTGATTAATTTTATTCAGTTCATAATTATTTCTGCAACTGTTTTATAGTTTATTTTATTTTTAATTTTCTTGGTTCTGTTATAATTAATTTGCTTTTTAATCATACTATGATTGACTTGAATTCAATTTATTGTTTCTTTTTCAAAAGTTTAATTTAATACCTCTTTTCCGTTTTTATAAATTAACATTGCTATTAGTATTCCATACTGTGACTGATTTTCTCTTATTTACAATTATTCAGGTCAAATATTTTTTCATTTCATCTTTTAAGTCTTGTTCTTCAATTACCTTATATATGTATTTGATTGTTTTGGTACTGTTCATATGTAATGCTTACATATATTTTGGGGAGTGTGTATATGTGTGTGTAAGTTTGTGTGAGTGGATGCGTGTATGGGAGTATGTGTGTCTATAAATGTAAGTATGTATAGTATATGTATGGGTGTGTATATATGTGTATGTATATGTGTATGTATGCATATATTAATTGGTTTTAAACATTATAAATTTCACATATTTTATATATATGCATATATTAATTATTTTCATATGTCTGCATATATTAATTGGTTTTAAACATTATGAATTTTTCATATTTTATATACATGTTTTAAAAATTGCTTTTTTAAAAGTTTTAAAAATGAAAGAACAAAATATTTAATTTACATTTTTTTAATCGAACTATGAATTTATGGATTACTTTTTTGAATGTTGGGTTTTCCGCTTAGTTAAGATTTACTCTTTTGGAATGCCACATTGTGTAAAAAATTTATTGTTTGTTCATAATAAACGAGAATAAAAAATTTCTCACCCTGTCCGAAAAACTTTGGTACCTGAGTGACGACATCAGTCGATTCATCGTAAACCAATCTGACTTGGTTGTACCAAAATTCTTCGGAATATTTTTCGTAGTCAACAGATACAATTTCAAAAAACTGTGAAAAATTTCAAAACATTTCAGGAATCGCAAATGAATGACACAAGTTCATTGACCTTAAACAAATCTTCACTTACTTGCACGTTCGGCATGTCCTTCAAAATAGCTTGCATAACAATGTTCCTATTCTTTTTGGAGTGGATTTTTTCAGTCTATAACATTGAAATATGTAAATAATTTTTTTTCAAAGTACCTTGTTAGTTAGCTCAGGCCACTCCTTTCTAACGAGTTCGTAGCCCTTCTGGTGTTGCACCCACGCCAAGGCTAAAAATTAAAATAATTCATTTTAATTTAAATTCATTATAATATAAATTTGTTGGCTATCAGTGTTTGAATAGATAATGGTAATATGCAACAAATATGTTAAAACTAACCAACACCCAAAACCAACAAAAAAACGAACGACTGCATATTCATTTGTTACTCGATGCTTTAATCCAAAGCTATTTAAATGAAAACTTAAAAAAAAACTAACCAATCAGATGCTAACAACTGTTATCATTATTATTCAGTTAATTTACTCAACATACGCTCAACTTTTTCAAAACAATATATTGATAGATTTTAATTGAGTCGTGTGAGTTATTCTGATTGAAGAAGAAATAATATTTTTACACAGCAACAGATGCTGTCGATGCTGAAAAAACAAAAATGTTGTTTTAGCAATCCCTTTTCTACAAGCAATCAATTAATGCGCACACAAGTAAGGAGCATTGTTTTGATTTTATTTCACATTTGTCTGAAAGTTATATATTCTGCTACATATTATATTTCCTACCCCAAACACCTTTCAAAACCAAAAACAAGTTGTAACTGCAAAATAAAAATGTAAATGTGCTGAATTACACGTTTTTAAAACATTTTGCGTCAAGGACCCTTATGCAGTGGCAGATCCAGAACATTAACATTTGCGTTTGAAAATCATTCCCAACCAAAAACTGAAGTAAATGGGAATTACGAGAATCAGCAAAAGCTTTAGAATCTTATTTATATTTATGTATATTTTGTTTGAAAATGTTTCCAACTTTTCACAGAATAACAGAGAATATTTATTTTAGCAAGAAAAATGTTATCCTGTATGGATCGAAAACACGTTGTTATGGAGCACATGATTGTTTTCATCTGATGAACGATTCGCAGGGCGATGCGGGTGCGTGACGTAAGAGAGCAACAACAACAACAACAAACGTGTTCATCTCTTGTTTTTATCTGTTGCTAATTTTACTGCCATTATTCTTTTTATTTTTAAACTATAACGCGTTTAATTTTAGATTTTATATATATATTCAGCAATATACATATTTAAGTTGTTTCGGCTGATTTTTTCATTTTTTTTTATAAAAATCTTTTTGAACTCTATGCTCATCTAACCATTCGGTAAAGAAATTAAATTTTTTGAAAAAATTAAATAAACGCAATATGTGAGCAATCAAAAACTACCATAGATAAACTAGATAAAATTCAGACGACAGTAACGACTTAGCTACAGGCAAAGGCTCAAAGATATAGTAAACGCAGTGCTCAATATTTTCAAATCATCATGATCAATAACAACAACAAAAAATTTATAGAATGATAATGACAGAATATATAATAATTTTCTCACCACAACAAACAGAATAAATAATAATTTACTTCAGCGATGAACTATTTTTTCTAGAAGAAAAAGAATGTAAAATAGACCTCTCAAGAATCAACTGATGCCATACACGACGACGATAATTAAACTTTCAATAAAAAAAATCTAAACAGCTTCGATTGATTACCAGAAAGTATTTGACAGTGCCAAGTAATATTAAAAAATTTATTAGAAATTCCATGTCAAATTAGAAAATCAGATTGTGTCTGTACAGCAGGAATCTTTGTTCAGACTGTCATTATTCCTTTGTTACTAGAATTCTTAAAAAGCAGAACGTACGTCAATGTATTAACCATTTGCTGTACATAGATGAAATGAAATTAATTATGCCAAATGAAGATCAACTTAGAAAAACGTTGTTAACAGTTAACAACTTTGGCCAAGATATAAAAAATGATGCTTGGAATATGTAGATAAATACGCCAGCCCTGGAATAGATAAATACGTCATCCCCGAAAAAGAGTGGTGATACGAAACGAGGTGACTGCAGAATAATATATTAGATATAGACATGAACCCCAGAAAGTTTCAAATTATAACGATGGGAAACTTCTGGGATATTCCAAAAGTCACCAACAAAAACATACCAGCAAACAAGCCAGATATATTAATCCATGATACGGTAGGAAAAATAATTAATGTTATGCAAAAAGAATCTTAAAAAAATTGTAAATACAAGGATCTTGCAATTGAAATTCAAAGAATGTGGCAAACGAAGTTTATAATTATTATGGTGGTTGAGAAGCTTTAGGAACTGTAAGTAAAAATCAGACGCAGACTGAGATTCAAAACATTTCATTACAGAGTACAGCAAGTATTCTAAGAAAAATATATGGTTGAATTCTTATGAAATCCGGTTGAGTTTCGGATATATCATCAACCAGCTTTGAAAGATGTGAACATTAAAAATAATAATAATATAATACTTACAGTATAAGCTGCTTAATTGCAATAAGGAGATATGCTTGTTCTTTCCACTTTTCGAATTGCATTCATTAACCAAGTTACAAATTATTTAAAGAACTAATGAGACATACCTTTTGGACTTATCATATTTAATCAGGGGTGTTAAAATCAAAGTATCGCGATCGTCAATAATGTATCGCCAATACACTTTCAGTCTTGGCTTTGGTATCGGCAATACTTTGATGTGAGTGAATTTTTCATCAACACCAGCAGAACAATAAGAAGCAAAAATTAATTAGGATGCAAATTCTTAATCATGCTGATTTTGGAACCCTCACGTAAACCGAGTTTTGGAGCACCTTCAGTGAAAAGTATTAACATTTATAATTGACAAATAATTTTATATACTTTCAGACGCATCAACAACAATAATATCAATTAACCTCATTATAATTCTTTCTTATATTTTAGAAACAAGATTTTTTTTTACAGACAAACATACATACCCCTGATTCACCTAGACATAGACAATTTATTAATTGCACAAACATACAATGCATGCACTGCACAACAAACTGTGAACCGCACATTTGACAACTTGAAATTAATAATTATAATTTTGGCGTTCTGGCCAACTAACCGTTCGCTTTTACCCTGAACTTTCTCTCCCACAACCAAATTCATCAAATTTGTTTCACAATTTAGATGGAAGAATTGTGTTCGAAGTTGATTCTAGCATTGTCTGCATTGTCGAATCTAATCTAGCGTAATTCTCGAAATTTGCAGAGATCGACAAGATTTTTTCATCATTTCTGAAAACTGTCACCTGATATTTTTCTAACACCATTTTAAATTTATACGCAATTTACTACTTCATATGTAACCAAATGAATTTATAAAATTATTTTCAATAAATTTTTAAAAAGCCACATTGAAAATTATTTTACTATTTTTATTTTTGAGGAAAATTCATGCAATTCATTTTTTAATATTTAAAAAAATTGTGAAATAGTAATTTTATGCCACCATCAATCTAGGAATTTTTTCTTTCAATGACTCTACAACGTTTTCGTAATTCTTCAATTAAAACTGCAATAAAATGTGTGCTGAATAGTTGTTCGAAAATATTTAAATATAAATTACAAGAAACAAACCTGTCCCACAATTTTAGGTACTAATTTGAAATCAGATTCTGCATGGAAGCAGAACTTTCAAATTACCTGCACCGTTTGCATCATCGTCATTCATCAAATTTGGTTAATAAAATTATAAAACCGCAATCATTAATAAAATTTATTGAATTTACGTTGAATCAAATACACAAATCGCGATGTATATTTTCAATTTAGCATTTTTTTTGTAAATTATAAAGAAAAATAAAATTAAGAAGAGGGTTTCTTCAAAACGACAACATCAAATTCGTTGACAACCAGTCTTACTTTATTGTACCATCTTTTTTCAGGATATTTGAACTGTGCTCAACAAACTCTGGAAAACTAAATTTATCGAACGAAGTATTCAAAATTAGGTAAGTGGATAGGAGTACCGGCACATTTGGCATATCCTTCAAAATTGAACTCTAAACATCTTCCTTAGGCTAGAAATTAAATTTTAAAATGTTAATTAAGGTAATTGAAACGAATTAAAATAATTTCAACGGTATTCTGTTTTCTTGGTCCATCTAGTATATTCTGACTTCCTTGTAACCTTTTATATCTTCAATTATTGCACAAGCTAAATAACAATGCAATGGTCAAAAAAGTTAAACCGTATGTTAAATTTATTTAAAAAAACCTTATTCAATTTATATGATGATGATGAAATTATAAGCAAATGAGTTACTTCAACATCTCGAACTGGCGAAGAAACCCACCCATTGCCGCACAAAGCCACAAAATAACACAAAACAATTGCATGGTTTAAAGTTTGCAGAGAACCTTGAAACCTATCTTTGGCTGGTAGTTATTATTGCAAGATTTAATGTGATGCAAAAAGTTATACTTGAAATGTTTCTAATATAATTTTATTGTATTATATTTTTATTATATTTACTCAATATCTAATTTAAAATGTTGAAGCATGTTTTGCAGTTGTATCTAATGACAGATGAAAAATAATAAACTGTCAATGAAACTTGATGCAACACAATGTTTATAATTTCACGCAATTTCAACACAATAATGTAAAAATATCATTTATATTTTTATTTTTCAAATAGTTTTCAAGTTTATTAGTTTGAGAGCAATTTTTTTATAAAATTTCAGGCTGAATGTAAAGTATAACGTTAATAACTTTTTAATGAATTAATGAGATCTGCAAACCTATATACTTCGTAATATAATGCAATTGTTGAACGATATCAAACATTGATTTTGATTGCGATCAATGAAACATTTGGCTCGCACGATAGCTCAGTGAGCACTACAACCTCAAGAACTCATTATAATTATAATAATGATTTAATGTTTAACAAATTTCTCGATGTAGTTTTCTGTATCATTGGTTTCGTGTACTTTGGTTTGAACTTCAGTCCCAGAAGCACACAACGTATCAGCACGTCATAAATGAAAAATAAACTTTTTCATAGTTATTATAAATGCGATCGAAATGTTTCTCGCTGATTATACTCAAAATCATCATGAAAGACTCCGCAGTTTTAATTTGTTCAAATTTAGACAATATGTTATATAGTTTATGTTGAATTTTCTCTAAAAAATCTCTTATGAGGCGCCTCTTAAAATCAAACTGTTTGTTATGGTCACACCCGTCTTCTTTGGTAACGTCAATTCAGAACATGTTTAAAATCTTAGTATAACTTCACAAAAAAAATTACCATTTCAAAAAAATAAAGCGGGAAACAGTTTTCAGTTTCTAAAACAACCATCCATTTGTAGTCTGTACAAATAATAAAAATAAAACATAAATTGAAGAGCTATCGATTTCGTCAGACTGGTGGCTGTGAAGCCAGCAGCCGATGATAAATTTATTTCAATCATGATAAAATATTTCTATTGATGGAGTGAATATATGATCTGTTTGTGTACTTTAAGATTGAAATTTTTTAATCTTGTTAACATGTTTCAGTTTGAAGCTAAGCAACGAATAATTATTGGAATGATAAAAATGTTTAAATCATATCATCTTTTTCAACCGTTGTTTTGTAGGTGTAGTGATGATGTTGTTGCGTGTTGGTGGTGATGCCGTTGTTGGTGGTGATGCCGTTGTACTCTACAGAGACCAAAAACTGGTTTTTCAAAAAAATTTTCAAATTTTGTTACACTGCATTCATTTTCTCATTCTCAGCATTCTTTGGATGAACTGATTTGAAGATAGTTACACCACCTTCATCATTCATTCTACAGTGCGGCTCAAAATGATAGGAATGGTTGGTATTTTCCATTTTCTTCAAAACCATTGTGCCGAATTAATTAAAATTTTTACCCCCAATTTTCAACATTTAAACAAACAATGAAACATAAGAAAATTATTGTTTTAAAAAAATATTAATTCAGATTATTCAAAAAATACGATTTTACAACAGGTCAAAATGATAGGAACGATTTTA